AGTTGACTGCTGTGATAATGCTTATCAGACAAGCACTTACGCCTGAGGACCGTGTTGAGCCGTCACAGTGAACCTTGGTGTTTTGACAACCCTTTTTTTTCAGCATAACATATGGAATTTTTATTGGAAGCAGTGCACAGATCATCCATGCTGGGAGGGGAGTTTTCACAGAGTGCACTGCGGCTGCACGTGCTGCCTCATATTTAATTACTTAGAGTGTCGTAGCACAGAAGCATAAAGACTACAGCAACAACACAGCAATTCCATTTTACCACAGCCCCCCTGAGATTCAGCTCTGTGTGTGTGTAGAAACTGTATTCTGCTTGTGTAGCCTATTTATTTTTCTGCATGCTGCTCCACATGCACACTCCGACGATGTGGGAGTCTGTGTGTGTGTGTGTGTGTGTGTGTGTGTGTGTGTGTGTGTGTGTGTGTGTGTGTGTGGCAGATGGTACAAATGCTAGGTCGGAGTGAGTGGGAAGACAGTGATTATAGGATTTACTGTTTCTCTATAGGTGTGTGTGGCTTATATCTGTTTTTTTTTTTTGATGCTTTATTTTTATTGCCTTTTTTTTAATGCAACATATAAACACGATTTGAAAAAAAATAAAACAAAACAAAACAACATCAGAAAAGGAACATGCTGGATTGCCATGTCTCTACAGTTTGTTCCAGTGATAATGTCAGTGTTATAGTCCTTATCCTGTCGTTGATGTGTGGACAGTCCATTTCTCCCACTTTTCTCGACTTTGTTCCTCTTGAGGCCTTATCGTATGGGTCAACTGCTCCATGACATATATTTCATTCACAATTTTCAGCCAGTCATCTTGTGTTGGTGGATCTGGTTTGTACCATTTTCACGTAATTGCTTTTTTACAAGCTGCTAACAAGATTTTCAACAAGTGTCTGTCCTCTTTTAACATTCCCTGTCATATTGCCAAAGTAAAGTAATACACATGACTTAGGTATCTCATAATCCAGAATTCTGACAATAACCAGGTGAACATCCTCCCAAAATTTTATAATTTTAGGGCAAAGCCAAAAAACATGAGAATGATCTACATTTGTTGCCCCACACTTTCTCCAACATGGCTGTGGTACCGACAGGTATTTGTTCTGGATTTTAGGTATGATAAAGAATCTAATTAAGTTCTTCCAACAAAATAATCTCCAAGCATATGATGATGTGGTTGACTGTTGTGTTCTCCAAATATGTAGCCATTCATCTTCAGAAATATTCACTCCCAGTTCTCTTTCCCATTTCAGCTTCACGTATAAAGTTGTATTCCCTCTTCTCTCCGTCTGGTCAAGAGAACCGGGGATGAAACGCCTATCATAGGCTATCCATTGAATTAGTCTAAGCTCTACTAAATTAAACCACATTTTTAATGTAAATTGTGTGACCATGTCTACATGTTCAATCATACTTTGGTTGTTCTCTGTCTCCAATAAGGCTTTGAATTTCTCTTCCTTGCACAAATTGCTCAAAATTTTTCCATTTTGCTACATAATCTTCATCACACCAACAAATTACAGGTCTAATTTGTGCTGCATGAAAATATTCCTTAAGGTTTGGCAGTGCCATGCCTCCCTTATCTTTCCCGATCTGTAGTGTTTTAAATTTGATTCTTGGTCTGTGACCATTCCATATATACCTTGAAATGTTTTTATCCCATATTCTAAATTGTCTCTCAGGTATCTCAATAGGTAGCGACTGAAACAGGTAGAGGATACGAGGGAGAATATTCATTTTTAAGGTCTCTATTCGTAAACCAGTGTTTAGTGGAAGGACAGCCCACCTATCCATATCGTTCCTAATTTCCTTATCCACTTTGATGTAATTGGCTTTGTATATTTCGTCGATTCTTCGTGTTAGGGTGACCCCAAGATATTCAATTTTTGTTGCATTCCAATTCAAGTTGTACTTTAATTGTATGTGTTTAGGGGGGTGATAATTGAATGTAAAATTTGTGTTTTAGTCAGATTCAGCTTATATCCCGAGCAGAAACCAAATGTTTCAAGTTGGTTGATTAATATGGGAATACATGTGTCTGGGTCCTCTAAATAACAAATCATGTCGTTAGCAAAAAGCCCAATGGTGTGTACTTCTCTCCCAACCTTTATCCCTTTGAGATCTTTATTCTGCCTGATTGCTTGGGCCAGGGGCTCTATGAAAATTGCAAACAAGGTTGGTGACAAGCAACAACCCTGCCTGGTAGACCGTTCTAAAGTTATGCTCTCAGTCAGGCTGCCGTTTATTCTTATCCTTGCAGTTGGTCTTTGATAAAGTGTTTTAATACATTCAACGGCTTTGTCATTGAGTCCGAATTGTTTAAGAACCAGGTATAGAAAAGGCCAATTAACACTGTCAAATGCCTTTTCCGCATCCAGGCTTATCAAGGCTGCACTAATATTTTTGTTTTGGATATGATCCATGATGTGTTCTCCTAATGTTATCATGGGTTTGACGTCCCTTAATAAAGCCGTCTGATCTTCCTCAATAATGTCACTAATAAAGTGCTCATACTTTTTGGAAATAATAGAAGTATATAGTTTATAGTCTATATTAAGTAGTGATATAGGTCTGTAGTCTGAACAAGTCTCGCTGTTATTTTTCTTAGGGATCACTGATATTACTGCTTCCTTCCAGGATGGGGGGATTTTACCATATTCAAGTGTATAATTAAATGATAATTCAAGTAGTGGTATAAGTTGCTCGCTAAATGTTCTGTACCACTCAGATGGTAGGCCATCACTGCCGGGAGATTTACCTTTTTTTAATTTATTTACTGTCTTGTATTTCTTCTTTTGTAATGGGTGAAATCAGGAGGTCGTTCTGATTTCTCCCAATTGCTGCTAAGTCTAGTTTCTCAAGAAAAGCTTTCATTTGGTCTGTATCAGCAGATGGGGGCTGGCTATATAAATCTCTATAATAGTTCATAAATTGTTCAACTTGGTCATTACATCGATTTGTGTTTACATCGCTATCTTATGATTGTCCGTCCGCTTGTTGTTTTTTAATCTTTCCCATAATTTGGCCTATATCTTTATGATGGAATGGGGGTTTCAGCAGGAAAATCAGAATAGGTTTATTGCCAAGTAAGTTTACACATAGAGGAATTTGTCTTGGTGCATTGGTGCATAAAATATACAAATCACACAAAAATCACACAAGAATAGAGTACTTTGGAAATATAAAAAAATAAAGATAAAAATATAAGAAAAACTGTACAGGAGACGGGAGTGCATTAATGTAATGCATATATACAGGGTGGGTATAAGAGTCAGTGTCAATGGGGGTTCCGGGCCTTGTTAATGAGGCCAGCTGCAGACGGAAATAAACTGTTCTTGTGGTGTGAGGTTTTGGTCCTGATGGACCGCAGCCTCCTACCAGAAGGAAGTGTTTCAAAGAGTTTGTGTCCGGGGGAGGGGTCAGCCGATTGAATGATACGCTGCAGTCTGCCCTTGTCCTTGGCAGTGGCAGCAGCGTACCAGATGGTGATGGAAGAGGTAAGGATGGACTTGATGATGGCGGTGTGGAAGTGCGCCATCATCATCTTTGGCAGGTTGAACTTCCCCAGCTGCCACAGGAAGTACATCCTCTGCTGGGCTTTCTTGGTGAGACTTGAGGTCCTGGGTGATGATGGTACCCAGGAAGCAGAAGGACTCCACAGGGTCAACTGGGGAGTCACACAGGATGATGGAGGCGTGTGGGGCTGGGTTCTTTCTGAAGTCCACAACCATCTCCGCTGTTTTCAGAGCGTTAAGCTCCAGGTTGTTCTGGCTGCACCAGGTCACCAGATGGTCAATCTCCCATCTGTAGGCGGGTGAGGGTAATTGCAAACTTCAGGAGCCTGACGGACTGGTGACTGGAGGTACAGCTGTTGGTGTACAGGGAGAAGAGCAGAGGAGAAAGAACGCAGCCTTGGGGCAATCCGGTACTGATGGTCTGAGAGACAGAAACATTTTTCCCCAGCTTCATGTGCTGTTTCCTGTCAGACAGGAAGTCTGTGATCCACCTGCAGGTGGAGTCAGGCACAGTGAGCTGGGAGAGCTTGTCCTGTAACAGAGCCGTCTGCCTCCAGGTTTCTCACTGTCCCTGCCAGTATATATACAGTATGTGCCTGTGTTGATTTCCTGGCTTTACGGGGCCTATCAGCTTTGTGTAGCTTCCAAACTGTTTCCAAGTCCTCCAGTCACTATATAAGAACACGCTGTTAACCCTGGTGAGAAACGGCTGTTACAGTGGGATTCAGAACACTAACAATAAAATCACCTCTTGCAGCCTTCTGTGGTGCTGTAATCTACTTCACTGGCATGTAATGACCAGTCCCTGCAGAAAAACGCGATTATGCGATCGCATAATTCAATGCATAATCAGCCAAAGTCCGCATATGTATGCGGGGGCCGTATTTTTTCAAATACGCCGCACTTTCGCCGCATAAATTGCTGATTTCCGCTCAAAATATGCAGGGCTTGCATGATTTCATAATCCTTTCATCATTTTTGTTGCATGAAAGTCACATATCTTAGCAGAAAGTTGAAAAATGTTGCGTTTACTTCACACAAGAGCAGCCATTTTTCCCTGTTTGCCATGGGAACGTTATGAAGTGACATAATTATGCGCAAGAACATCATCGAAAAGCTGCAAACCCCATGATGAAACCGCAGTTTTTGCAAGTTCCCGCAATTTCATCGCATAAAATTGCAGAAATATACTGCATATTCCATTGCATTTTTTAAGAAAACGTGCCGCATAATCAAGGATTTTTGCCCGCAACAATCACAAAAAAACTTGTTTTTCTGGAATGACTGAATGACAGCTCCATGAAGAGGCCTCACAGATAAAAAACATAAATAAATAAAAATCAGACAGACTGTTTATGTCGAGAGAATCCTGTAAACCTTGACTCTTTATGAGTCACTGCTCTGTGTTGTTGACAATAGAAGTTGTGCAGTAGGGCTGAGGACTAACTGCTGCACTTGTTTTATCTCTACAGAGCAGCCAGAGCTTTCGGAGAATACCTGTCCAATACTAATCCAGAGAACCACAACGGAGCAGGTGGGTGACACACACACACACACACACACACACACACACACACACACACACACACACACACACACACACACTGTGGAAATAAAAATCATTATCTAGCAACCAACTGAACTTAACATCAGCAAGGAACTCCAATACCAGGAGTCTAACATATTTCTACATCAGCCAGTACAGCTGTATTGTAGTGGAACATTTCTCCAACTTTATGCAGTGGTACATAATATATATAATACATACAGCCTAACCTCACAACTGGAAGAAAAACAAACAATCCTGTGAGGTTTTCAGCTTAAAAGTTGCAGAAAAATGCATTTAGCTGGTTGTTGGTGTCAATTGAACACATCGGTTAAGATACCTGCCTCAAAACCAGTTCATGAGATAGTAAATAGCAGGTTGGCATTAAGGCTTGCTCCAGTGGCAGCCTCAGACTGTTGGGAGAAAAAAATGAAAAGGGCACCAGTGTGTAGAATGGTAAATTATTATTTTAAATTACATTTCAGTGATCTCATCTCAAAATGTTGTAGTATTTTGATACCGTCATTTTTTAAATTAATTAATTTCATTTTTAAATTGTACTACTAGAGCTTGCCTATCACCACTGATATACGTACCATAGTACCATAGATGCAGTGGGCTATGGGAATGTATTGTCTTGTAAGCTACTTATTGTTCAAGTAGAGACCAACCTAACCGGCTGGCTAACTGACTGAAAGCTTCTAGCACCATCTGTTTTGCAAGTACGCATGGATGAAGTTTGCTGTGCCACTTCCTAGTGTGACACAGCCTTTATAAATCAAGAAAAGAACCCTACCTGGAATGGTAAACCTGCAATGAAACTAGATAAAATGTCACTGAAACATCTGAAAATAGAACGTGTATGAAAGTAAAAAAAGATCTAGAATTAGCCTTGAAGTGAATTTCTATTTATTGTCTATTTAAGTATCAGTCTGCAATAAGCGTGTCCCATACTTGTTTATCCACAGCACAGATTGCATCCATTCCCAGGAGCTTACACTTATCCTCTGTGACCCTCCAGGACAACAGGGCTTTTGTTTCTGCCAAAGCTCACGCACCGTACCAGCCCATCCATTTCCTCTTTGCTTATTTCTATCACTCAGCCATCACTCTGCTTTCTTATCTCATCCCCCCAAAAGCTTAACTAAATGTTTACTACCATGCTGCCAACAAAGGTATATCTTTATCTTTTATTTATCTTGTACTCATTTACAAAAGCTGTATAAATTTATGGACAACATGATTTATTTGTCACTATGTTTTTCTTTCTTGTTACCTCACTCCATCTTCTCTGTCCCTGTTTCTCCAGATCATTTATTGTCTGACACCTTCCCTGGCCAGGACTGCGACTCTCCAGACATTAGCCGCTTGCATAACAACAATCTGCCAACACAGAGCCGCTGTTTGCTCATAGCTAAATCCAACAAGTCCAGCCAATCCAATCCCAGTGCTCATCCACAGTGTCAGCCTCAAGTCAACACCCTCCAGGCTCAAGCACCGTCGGGCCCCTCCAAACGTCGTCTCTCTGTTGAGTGCAGCCTTTCTACAGAGGACCCACCAGGTGCCAAAGGCCCAGAGGGGAGCGTGGTGGTGGTGAAGCCAGCCAGGGTGTACACAATCACTAGGGAAGGAGGGATGACCCTAGGGGGCCGTGGGAGCGAGGAGAGCCTGGAGCTGGAGGTCCTGAAGGGCTCCAGGGAGCAGCCCCTGTCCCAGGCCCCTACCTCTGCAAACCACAACACATCCTGCACCAGCCAGCCGTCTGCCACGGCTGCCCCTGGAAGCCATCACCGTAGTAGCCATCACCGCAGCAACCATGCCCACCAGCATCACAGTGGCACACCGTCATCATCACAGCCGATGCAGACCTCTGGCAGTGCCAACAACATCCGGGACTTGGGGATAAGGAGAGGGGGGTCGCGGGAAGACACCCCAGACTGTGTGGCCTGTATTCGGGCCCCGTGTCAAAGCCAGCGCTCCCTCGACCTGGACACCTCGCCTAGGGAGGAAGGGAAGCACCACAAGAAACTGGAGAGGATGTACAGTGAGGACAGAGCGTCAACTGATGACAGGGGTAAAGAAAGATGGATGGGAAGATGGGTAGGAGAAGGGAATTGTAGATATATACGTCAGTCATTTCAATTGCTTTTATATTCATGTGTTCACGTACAATTTGTAGAAAATACAGTGAAACCAGGTATATTTCACCCCATTTACCCTCAGATGTTTCACTCTTGTCATCATGCATTCACTAGCCTCCTCTGCTAATTGTAAGGCCCGTGTTTTGAATGTTCTCCCGGCTCATACCACGCCTTCCTTTTGTTTGCAGGGGACAATCCTAATAGCTGGTTCCCCAAAGAGAATATGTTCAGCTTTCAGACAGCCACCACCACCATGCAGGCGTGAGTATGGCATGGAAATCCGCCTTCACTCCCACTCACGGTGTCTTACTGCACCACCATCGTGTTGGCAGGATATGGCTCGACCTGTTCCTTCCAAGCTCAAATGTAGTGTTCTACTACAAAATCGTAATGAGCTTTCACACATTTCTCACTTGTTGGTTTCACCGATATATGAAGCCAGTTCCACTTATAATTATAATAAAGAACTGAACAGTCATAGTTCTCCACCTCTTTTGTTCAATGTTTAAGTACCTCTCTGTGCTATGGTGTCAGTGGCTGCTAATATTGAAATAATTTTATTAACCAAATTACATTTCCCATTTGATTTAAGTGTAATACATTCCAAAACAACAACACAAGTTAAATTAAATGTTTATTTTAATATTTACTGAAAATTATAATCAAAACTTGAGGGGAGCGTGTGTTTATCTGTCCGCAGCTAATCTCGCTTACTGCTGGAACCATCAGCCTAATATTTTTTGTGCACATTTATGAGTGTATGCTTGAGGACCTCATGTGGTTGCAGTAATTCACAATTTTTGAAAACCCTTTTTTGACTGCTGACCCCTTACTGCTTTTAACTGGCCGCAGTACATTTTAGTTGACGAAATGTAAATTTTTTTATATTTGGTGTGAAACATTTTTACAAAGCCATAGGGAGCCACTGGAGAGGGGCTAAAGAGCCCCAGTTTGCCTCCCTCTGGTCTAGACACTCAAAACACACACACACACACACACACACACACACACACACACACACACACACACACACACACACACACACACACACACAAAGGAGCCCACCACTCTTTGTGACCAGTTAATTATCACCTATCACCCAGATCTTATAATTATGACCCTGAAACAGGCAAAGTTCACCCAACATGATCTTTCCCCTTGTCTCTCCCACACTCCTTCTTCTCTCTCCATATGTCAGTGCCTCTCCTCCCTTTTTCCATCTGTTTCCATCTGCCTGGGTCACAATTAGGGTCAGACTGATATATAGACCTGAAACTAGCCTTTGATTAAAAACACTGGCCAATCAGCATCTTTCACCTCTAATATGATGGGTTTGAGAAATTACATCTTTACTACTTACCACTCCTTAATCTGATTTTGATCAGATGAGGTAGGTATGTGCACTGTCATCATCTGTCCTGTAGTGGCCCTCACTTCTTTTCATCATTGATATCTAATGTGTATGTCCTAATTAGACTGACAAACAATCTGTCCTTTCTCACTCATATTCTGAATATAGTCAAGACTTTTCCACTCAAGGTTGTTTTTTCTGCTCATTGGATCCTCTGTGAAAGTGAGAACTGCAAAGCAGTGTGTGTTTGGCTGACCCTGTTGCTAACTTCTTTTTAATTTTTTCCTCTTTTCTTCCTCTCCTCTCAATGTGGCGGCTTTCCAAACCACGACTGTAGAATATCGTGAGTAACTCTTTCAAACACCCCCACTGTTCTTCCTCGTTGCTCCTCTCTGTCAGTTAGGTAACAAGTCTTGAACCCTTTTCCTTGTGTGGCTTTGTGCTATTGGGTCTGTTGTGTCCTTTAACCCCTCAACCTCAGTGTCTGCTAGACTGGGTGTTTAAAGTTATAGATTCACTCAATCAGCTATGGTGCAGGGGACATACTATAGCTGGAATAAAATGAGAAAATACTGGATTCATTGATTGCACAGGAATATTCTACTGTCTAGTCATGAGATGCACAAATAAGTCGTCATGTTAAAGTATTGAAGGATTGGTGTTTCTTCTCTGAATAGTTGCAGTCGCTTAATTGAAGTATTGGATCATGTATGACACAGCAACACAAAGCAACAGTAATGACCTATTACACACACTTAATGTCTAAAGCTATTAGTTTATGCAACCATCATGATAAGCATATTGGTCAAAGCAAAGCATTGATTCCAGCAAAGCTCTCCATTGTGGTTAAATCTAAAGATAGACACAGATGATGAAGCTGATGAATAGGACATGTAATAATGTGGACTCATATCTAGCATCAGTGCTGCATTTAGCATTATAAAGGAGAGTCTTAATTACATAGAAATAGACACAAACAGAATAGGATTCTGTGTCTTGGCAAGAATCTGGCGATACAGTGTGTATCACGATACAGGGGTTACGATTCAGGTATATTGTGATACTGTAAGCAAGGTGATACATTTTAATTTATTTTAGAAATCTAATTTCAGGAAAGCTTTTATAGTATAAAGAACACACCACCTACTTCATAAAATCTGAGTAATAAAAGTGACTTTATTCAACCAGACCAATGGGATCTGCATTTGTATTTATCTCAGTCCCTATAACATCAGACATCATAACCCAGTTTCCATTTACAACACTGCTATCTAGCTGTTGGGGGTTTAAACAAAAAAACTGATATGTATTTAAAAATTGATACAATATCACATTGCAATACACTATCTTTCAAATTTTTCTCTTATTTGGTGACCGTAAGATAGCTGTTAGACAACTGTCACCAGCAAATTTTCTAAGCTGTAGGTAATTAATGTTATTCTCTGAGTCTAAACTTTTGGCAAATCTTGAAGGTGGTAAAAAGATAAAAGCAACACACATATACATACATATATTCGAAACTACCTTAGCTAATGATTGATGTAGATTAGCTAGCTAATTGTCTAGTGTTTTGTAAACATTAGCTAACTAAGTTAAGATACGATTACTAGCACATAGCCAATCTAATTACAGAAAAAGAGAAAGTTGCTGTTATTGCAGCAGAGAGCAAAAAGAGGCAGGACATAGGAAGGGTCAATTGGTCGTTTCCTATGTTTTCTGTAAAATAAAAAAAGTGACTTTGTTTCAACTGACTGGTTTGAAAAAAATCCCAATAGAATTCAATTCAATTCTTCAATTCAATTTTATTTGTATAGTGCCAATTCATAACAGAAGTTATCCCAGGACACTTTTCAAATAGAGCAGGTCTAGACCGAACTCCTTATAGCATTATTTACAGAGACCCAACAGCTCCACCATGAGCAAGCACTTGACGACAGCAGCAAGGAAAAACTTCCTTTTAAGAGGCAGAAACCTCAGACAGACCCCGGCTCCAGCTGGGGGTGGCCGTCTGCCTCGACAGAGACAAAGGTGCACAGCAACAAGTAGCAACAACTAGTACATGAAGAAGATGATGATGACGACGACGACGACAACAGCCACATCGATGGGGACAAAGAGCAATGATTATAATAGTAATAATAATAATAATAATAATATTACTAACAATAATATCAGCAATATTAGCAATGGGGGTCAAGCAGGACCATGACAGGAGGCACCACCAGGATCCATGAGAACCTGTGAGAACATTAGTTTATTGGATTCATTTCATGTAGAAACAAGATTGCGATCACTGGTGCAACTTATGTAGACAATCAAATTGAGTTTACAAAAAAAATTTAAATCACAATTGGAAAATTGGTTCCCAAATTATTAAAGTTGCAGTAAGTCATTTTTGTAAAACAAACTTTTTTCATAATACCGTTATACATAATTTCAATATATCCTGACGGTAGTACTTGAGACAGATAATCTGTGATAAGATCAGGTTCCTCTGGCTCTTCCTAGTGCTCCTAATGGCCTTTGCAGGAATCCACGAGACCTGGACATAAACAACCAATCAGAGCCGAGAAAGATATAAAGATACTTTGGTAGTAGGTAGTTGATTGTTGTGTATCATTCCCAGGATCCCAAAGTATCTGTATTTGATGCCCTGGGAATGAGACTCAACAATTAACTATCTGTCCCATGTACTACTGTCCGGATCTAGTGAAAGTTTCAGCAAATATGACAAAAAAGTTAACTGCTGCTGTTTTAATTCCCAGCACCAAGCTAATATCTGTGGGTACAACTTCGTAATTTAATTTAAAGTTATAACATGGTTCTGTATAGAAAATGATATTGCCCATGGTTTTTGGAATATCAGTTGCAAAATTACATTACAAAGGCATTCCTATGTGAAATCAGAAAAGTTTACCAGCCTACACTGTAATGTCACTTTTTTTCTGCTTAAAGTTGGCGGGATTACTCAAATTTTGGATTGCTTTCGGCACAAAAGAGGAAGAGGGCTCTCAGCTTTCAGAGTTTATGGTGATGACAGATGGTGGAACGACAGACAGGCTTAAGAAAAAGTCACTTCCATCATTTTCATCTTTTTGAGGGAGAGGGAAAAATGACGTAAGAGCTTTGAAGGCTTTTGCATAATAGGCAGTGAGACTCTGGTGACTTCAGCCCATTTTTGTCGTCCCAGAGCTCATCAGCTGTCTGTCTGTCTGTCAGTCAAAACCAGACTGCAGGACATGACTTCATTTCTGACATACGTTGTCAAAGATGATTCTCATTATGTCTGGCATCATGTCAGAGCCATTACTGTCCCCTCTGGGAAAGGCACACCCATGCAGGGACAGAAAAAAGGCAGAAAACACAAAAAAATAATATGGTTTAATAATCATTTAAAAAACATATATATATTAAAGACTCAAAGATGTGTCATTATTTCTAGGATGGGTAATACTGGCATGTCAACAATGTTGCCAACTCCCATTGGATAGACAGGATTTCCTGGTTTCTCCTCAGTGTCTCTTCTTGTAGATCCCTATCTTGCATTGTGATCCCAGTGTGTGTGTGTGTGTGTGTGTGTGTGTGTGTGTGTGTGTGTGTGTGTGTGTGTGTGTGTGTGTGTGTGTGTGTGTGTAGTACTTGAGAATATCCACAATATCATCTGCCCCTGGTGGATTAAACGTCCCTGTGCTGCTAACTCTAACCACTCAGTAAATCTATCCCAAACCCTCACTAACCCTTATGAACTTAAAACCACTCCTCACCTTAAACCACTTTATTGTTGCCCCATCCCACCCTGGAACTTTATATATATGCCCGAACCCAACTTAGACCCAAAGGGCTTAAATCTGGTCAATTTCATTCAACTTTGTGGCATTCCATCCACGCTAAGTTAAATCAAAACCAGAAGTGTTAGGACTAATATCAGAGTTAACCCAGATCAGTTCGGTAAAGGTTTTTCACCCCTTGAGTCAGTTTGGGTTCAGACAAACATCCTTTGGTGTTAGGTCAGGCACAGATAAAACATTTAAATTTCACTTCCCCACAAAAACCACCTAATGCTTTGACATCCTGGCAGGGCTTTCCGAGGCATTGCTGAGAGAAAGAGGCGGAAAAGAGAGCAGGAGGCAGCCACCATGATGGAGAGGTACCGTGTCCTGGCTGTCCTGTCCTGTCCTGTGTGGTGCTAACCCCCTCTATTTCTTAATGGATATTCTGGCTGAATTTTAACCTTATCTCTATCTATTCAGGGGTCGTCAGTTTACTTAACGGAAAAGGGCTACAGTTTGACACTGACTCCTGAAGCAAATAGTCTTACACACATATATGCAACACATCGCTGGTGCATTTGTCTTTGCCTTCAGTGCTGCAGTTCAGGAAACAGAACATTCCCTGCACTCCTGTCCTCAACTGCTGTTATAGGACCATCACAAAGGTCGTAACAGTATCCCTGTGTGTGTGTGTGTGTGTGTGTGTGTGTGTGTGTGTGTGTGTGTGTGCTATGAATCCTGGAGGCTGTGGACTGCAGGTTTAATTAGTGTTCTTCACTGAACACTGAGGAGTAAAAGCGGGGTCTATCAATACAGAGCTGTAGCTCACTGCTCAGTGGACAGCACTCAAAGTCAACGAATCAATCAGTATTTGGCAACAGACCTTTAGCCTGTGTGTGTGTGTGTGTGTGTGTGTTTGTGAATAACTAGTTCTTCAAATAGCGCAAGAGAATAATTTTTCTGTGTGTCACTTTCAGAATGCACTGCTTTTAATAGATAGGTAGTTACACAAACGGAATTATGCACGTTTGAATAAGCAAGAAATGTTTCTGTTGCAAAGCATTTGGAAAGGTCAGTCGGATTGAGAGGGTTGGGTGAGATAGTTGCAGACACACATGTATTCATGCGCACACACACAGCGACATGGATTTGACTCAGTTGTCTTAATGCCAGTGATTTTAAAAGCTCTTGTCACTCAGAACAAAAATACAACTAGGGCTGACTGATGGATACCCTTCTCCTCTGACTCATCCCTCTATTTTAGGCTCTGCCTTCACAACTCCTGCAATCAACACTGACATGTCAACATTTTTTTTTTGGAATGCCTTGAAACTGCACTCGTGATACAAAATAGTTAGAGGGTTTTTTTTTAATGCACGTGGGAGGGTGTGTGCTTTGCATTTTACTGTGAGCTTTTGATGAACCTTGCAGCTGTTGGGTTTGGGTTACACTGATATATCAGGATGATACTGGCTTTTTATTACTTAGACTTTTGTTTGATGGGGATGTTGTTCAGTGTTATGGAGTTGGTCAAACAAGCTAGAAATAACTGACTACAGAGGGAGGCCTGATTAAGAATAATGAGCAGTGAAATTGTGCATCACCTATATCAGTTGTCATGAGTCATAACTTTGTTTCACATCACTTCCCTTTTTCAGTTCACCACAGAACTCTGAAACCTGTGAACTTAACAACTCATGTTTAATTGGGACGAATATCACCTTCATAAAATGGAAAATGTCTCCTCATTGCCATCATTGCAGTCAGCTTTTCCTTCAGTAACCAGTAAAAACACTGAATAAAGCAGTTCCACCTTAAAAATAACTGTTTCTCCCATGCTGTTGGGCAGACAAAGGACGTCCTGGAGGGGCTGCGAGCCAAGCTGCTGCTAACGTTAGCTCAGCTTGTTTCTCTGATAATTTGAGATCCAGACGTCCGATGACTAACATCCTTCATGAAATCTAGAGTTAAAAACCACCAAGATCTAAACAGTGGATGGTAAAAATGTGGCTTCAAACTGGATAAAAAGTCAATGTATGACAGCTTCTGGCAGACAACCACAACGCTGACACATGCACAAACAGTATATGACGCCATCGACAGGCGACCAGTGAAACGCAGCGTTACCTGAAAAAATGACAAATTTCTCTGAACATCGCTGGAAACATTTGGGATAATAGAAGTACAAAACTCAATTACTTATAGAATATAGCTCTAGTATTTATAGACATTTTAATGCAGAAATTCGACATATAGAGTAATAATTTGGCAAGAATCTGGTGAAACAATACGTATATCACAATACAGGGCTTATGATTTAATATTTTGTAATATATTGGGATACTGTAAGCAAGGCGATATATTGTGATTAAAAAAACTATTAAATTTAGGAAAGCTGACATAATATAAAAAACACACCACCGTAAGCATAAAATCTAAGTAAAATGTAAAAAAAATTATGTAACCACAACATTGTATTTAGGTAGCAAGACTAAAACATGATTGACATACTTTGTTGGTCTTTATGTCCCCTTTGTGTAACCCTCACTCCACTTTGAAGGTTATCATCATTTTGCATATTGAAAACATACAGATTATCCAGACACGTGTAGACAGTTGACGAGACCATCCACATCCACTTCAATTCAACAGTTTCTGCAGAGGTAAAAAGAACAGTCAGCACAGTGATTAATCTGTTTTTGCTGTTTGTGTTCCTTGACTTTGATGATATTTGCAGACATTTGGCTAAGCTACCATTAGCTACCTGGCTACATGGCAGGGATAGACTGAATAAAGTTGTATCCGTGCTCTGTTCTGTCGACTCAACCTCTTCTAACGTCTTCTAGAGTCCAGATCTTGTGACTGTTATATTGTCTTTGACATAGCCAGTGTCAGACTCACACCAGATTCAGTTAAAGTCACATTAGTGTGTACTTTCTGCTACAAGGAGCTCTCAGTTTCATACTGTAGCTTCACTTAAAGAATGACAAATTCAGGGATAAGCACCACAAATGTAAGTAACTTGCACTATGCTGAACCATCACAGACAGACAAGCCTTGATGAATAATAAAAAGCTGTGTTTTAGACTTCACTTTAGACGTTCCACTTACTACCACTCAGGGCTGTTTCTCTATTTCCTTTCCTGTTTCTCTTTTTATATTCTCTCTCTGCCCCAATAATTTTCTACTAGTCATGAATCATACAAGGCCTTTTATGGAATAATATATATAAATGTAACATAACTAATATGTTTGTGATCAGGGGCATGCAGAAGTAATGCTAGAGAGGCACCCAACTGAGCAGGAAAAGAAAGGGGGAAAAAGACAAGAATTCAGCCTGAGATTTCCAATATGGACTGATGATTCAACATGCATTTGATAGTCTGTTATCAGTAGCCATTTAAATGAGTTGAATGAGTAATTCTCTTGACTCAGTTTATTCCGGGGATTTATAAAAAGTTTGATATGACATATCTGAGTATCTTCAAACACTAATTTAAAGCACTACACTGGCTTCTAAGTTTGGCCTGATGTATGATCTAAAGATTGGTACTAAAACCACCTCAGTACCCGATAGATAGTAGTGTTTCAATTCTAAACTTTTATGGATCACCTCCCGATTCCACGCGTCCAAGAAGGGTCTCTTAGCTCTGCTGCTTGGAGAATACTTCTTTGGAGGAGACATAGACTATCCAGACATTTTAAAATACCTTACCTTACCATAAAATACCTTGTGCAGACTGATTGAATTTCACAAAAGTCAATCAGAGGCAGGTCAGAGGAGATTTGATACCACAGACGTTCATTTTGAAGCAGAGAAACAAACTGTTTTGTGGCTTTTTTAAGGACAAAATACAGAAGTCAACAACGTCCGGCAGGCGAGACACTCTGAAGCATCTGAAAACTCTTTTGATGGGATTTGAAGATGCTCGGATCACAAAGCCAAACTGTGTCGCAAATGCAATGTCATAAAGCCATAACAGTGGAGATTTGGGTCAGTCTTTGGGTTCCAAGTGACAAAGCAAAGTTCGTCCGTGCGTCCATGCAAAAGAAGAGGAGTATTTCATCCAGGGGTGGTGCCTTACGTCCTGCGTCAGATAGTGTGGTCTGCCTGAGTGCATTCTCATCAGCTCACATTGGGCTGTCTCATCACTTTTTTGGATAAACTAGCTAAAGGAATGAGTCCTGGAACCTGGAACTGAGTTAGCATTTAAGCACTTCCAGTTCCCTTGCCTCAAAGTCAATGGGTTTTATTGAGTAGGTTTTTCAAACCATTTTTTTAGGGTTTAGGGTATTGCAGAAAATAGATTTTTCTGAAAAAATTATGCTTTGTTTTTAAAAGGCACAAACTGTGACTTTGAAGCACTCTCTAGTATAATGTATGCTAACATGTTAGCATGTGCACAAGACGGGCTACTTATACTTGCGACTGATTTTGTTCCCACTTTCTTGTCACAGCTCTAGCTAGCATTTAGAATTGCTTTTTGTTGCGTTAATCTGTGTTTATAAGTTATTTTTGTCCTCTGGCTCTGTTCCTCTGTTCTGTTCCCTTTTCTTGACATTTCTGTCTCTTTCTTTTCTTCCCTAAAATGGTAGAAATTTTCGCAAACACCTTAGGATGGTGGGCAGCCGCAAGATGAAGGTCCAGAGTAAGTCTTTCATACTATCTGTATGCATGTATATGGCTGATGCCGGTATGTTTCATGTTTTCATGTTTTCATGCATTCATGCTCTTCAGTGTGTGCCATTGTAACATCAGAACTGAGGTTCATCAGAATTTATTTATGCTTTATGCATGGAGCAACGATACTGTGCATGTGTTAGAGTATGAATTCGACATGCCATCAAAAACGTATTCCTTAAAATCCTTATTGATTGTCATTTGGTCAGTCTCCACTGAAGTGTTTAGACTGGTGTGTACTGATTAATTGTGTTTGTAGCTGTGACTCTGAACAGTTTTTTATCATATTGGTTGTGTATTTATGTGTGTGTGTGCGATTGTGTACTGGAAAGTTCAGTTTGTATCTAACGCTGGTGAATTGAGTACCATAAAACTCAGTACTTCCTTGCATTTGTTTGTTTGTTATATCTCTGATTTGATTACGAGTAAAATGTGTAGAGTGATTCTTCTCATTACATTTTTAGTACTTGACAAACCAATGCTGGCTGACAGTGCCAATCTAGTCAAAATTAAGATTTCGTCTCAATTGGTTAAAGGATAGAATTATAATATCTTGACAACTGCATAACTGGATGAGAGAGGGAGTTTAGCCTAGCCTCAGCAACAAAATGTGTAGTTTTCCTACAAATCTAGTTTGTAGAAAAACTACAAGAAATATTCTGGCAATTCAGCCTGTCCTTCTGAGATATCCAATACTGATTATTAAACATTTATTTTATAGTCTGTCTTCAGTTGCCATTTAAATTAGTAGATAAACTGCTTTTTCCTCTCTTGACAGTTAGCCTTAATAGGCTAGTTGCAGTCTATGAAAACCCCCATGACTTTAATCTGTGAGACTGAAAAAAAAAGATTGCACCAGGCTCAGATTTCCTGAGGTCCTTGATATGAATTAAATCAATAACATGAATAAAAGCAATATGGTTTTTCTGTCAATTGATTGGTCACTCAAGTCATTTTCCAAATAAAAATGCCCCAAATCTGCAGGCTCTCGATTTGTAATTTCACCTCCCTTTTTGCAAGAAAAATGCTATCTAACTGGCGAGCTAATTTACATGAATTGTTGGTTGGCTAGTTAGCTAACAACAGCTAACTTAAGATGTGACTATATATCGATCAGTCATAACATTACTAACACTGACAGGTGAAGTGTAGCAGGCAGCATTAGGATTTGAGAGACTTTGACAAGGGCCAAATTTTGATGGCGAGATGACTGGATCAGAGCATCTCCAAACCTGCAGCTCTTGTGGGGTGTTCCCGGTCTGCTGTGGTCGGTACCTATCAAAAGTGGTCCAAGGAGGGAAAAGTGCTGAACCAGAAACAGGGTCATCGGGGGCCAAGGCTCATTGATGCACGTGGGGAGTGAAGGCTGGCTGTGCGGTCCGATCCAACAGACGAGCTACTGTAGCTCAAACTGCTGAAACAGTTAATGCTGGTTCTGACAGAAAGGGGTCCAGAGACAGGGTCACGGGCTCACTGATGCACATGGGGAGCTACCCAGGTGGTCATAATGTTGGGTGATAGGTTTATATGTATGTTGCTTGTATTCTAACCATCTTCAAAATGTGGTTGTCTTTCCAACGTGGACAAGCCTAGCACAGTGGTTCCCAACCTGGGAGTTGGGACCCCCACTAGGTGCTTCACAGGGGGTCGCAAGGCATTCTTGATTCTTGATGTTAATTTCTGTGAAGAAAAAATGCAATTGTTATTTTTAATGTTTAGATTATTATTTTTGATCTAAACTTTGAAGACCTGAACATAATCTACATTCACAGAGCTTTCCCTCTCTGATAAACATCCTGCATTAAAAAATGTTTAAGCTAATAGAACAGTGCCCAAGCGTCAGGGAGAAGGGGGGGGGAAAGCCTATTAGGTCTGTATGATTGTATTGATTGATTGATAAAGACAATGACAAAACTCTGATGTAATAATGCTATATTCACAGGAAGTAATCTGCTAGAACTTTTTCCAAATTGCTCATTTTACACAAACTTCCTGCACTTCACTATTTGGGTTTATTGTATAGTTTCAGTCAGGGGTCCACAGTTTACTCAATGATAGAAAAGGGGGAAGTTAAACTGCTGCAAAAACCTGATATTTATCAAGTGTTGAATTGAATAACTCTTTGCGGCTTTTTATTGCCTTTATGACAGTTACAGATGAAGATAGTCAGGAAGGGGGGCAGAGAGGGGATGACACGCAGCAAAGGGCCACAGGTAGGATTCGAACCCTGGGCTGCTGCTGCAAGGACTCAGCTCTACCCACTGAGCTAACCAGGCGCCCCTATAACTTTTGTTTAATTTTAAAATGATCCTAGAATCAACAAAACAATCAAAATCAAAATCACAATAGAATGTTGAAATAATACCACTTCAATGAAATTCAATACCTTTTTAGAATTACCACCTAGCCCTATGTCAACATAAAGCACTAAGGGAAGTCACTTATCTAAGGGGAGACTTGCATCACTTTAGTATGTACGTTCTTCACGCATACTGGGTCAGCAAGACAGAACCCTTGATTTCTGGGGTTGATAATTCTTTAGAGAGTGCGTACGTGTTTGTGAGTGACTCTTTTCCCCCCTAACTCCATCAGCCTTTGCCGACCGCCGAGCCAAGAGTTTCAGCCGCTCGTGGAGTGACCCCACCCCTGTCAAGCCCGACTCGCTGCATGACTCCAGAGACAGTGAGTCCATGCTTTCACACACAAAAACACACACAGTACATTTACACACGCTTAGTGCTGGGTAGCAACTGTTTATAGGGGATTTTCATAACTACATGCTGTATACACACACAGCTGAAAGCACACAACAAATTAGTGCACTCACACACACATACACAAACTCTTACTTACTCTTACTGTGTTTAATGTGTACAATTTATCTGAGTACAGTATGTGCTGCCTGTATCTTCATACTCTGTGTGTCTGTTCTCGGCTGTTTTCATACATCCACACAGCCTTTCCCATCTTTTAACCTTGTGTTGCCCATCTGCCTGTTGCTTTTTGCCATAGCAGTCTGTATCTGGCTGGGCGCATAAGGAGAGTGTTATTGTGTCGTCTGATTTTAACTCTTCCATTCCTCCCCTCCACGCTGGAAAAATAACAGGTGCATTGCTTTTTAATGGATCACCCTCCTCTCTAATCTTTTTTCTGTGTCATCCTTTCATCTCACCCTTTGTTCCTCTGTATGTGTGTGTGTGTGTGTGTGTGTGTGTGTGTGTGTGTGTGTGTGTGTGTGTGTGTGTGTGTGTGTGTGTGAGCCAGGTGGCGAATTTCAGAGCTCCTCAGGGACACTAGATGAAGGACTGGATGAGGATGCCGACTGGGAGGAGGAGAGGGAGATGGAGAGAGCGGCGTGTGAAGGAGAGGACTTCAGCCCACCCAAAATCATGGTGACGATCCCTACAAATGGACTTTGAAGTTACACTGAATATATCTACAGGTTGTCCATTCTGATGTGGCTGAGGGGATTTAGGTTTTTCTGCCTTCTGTTTCCTGTCTTCCACAGCTGATATCCTCCAAGGTCCCAAAGGCAGAATATGTTCCCAACATCATTCGTAGGGATGACCCTTCCATCATCCCCATTCTTTATGTGAGTAGCAGACAGCTTTACACCACCACTGGTTTAGGTTTAAGGAATTAAGTGCTGTATTTATTAATTAACCCCTGTATTTATTAAGTGCTGTATTTATTAATTAACCATTATTAATTAACGGCTGTGATGCAAGAAAAAGAAAAATGATTTAGATGGTTGAAAATGTTGAATTCAACGTTGCTTTTCTACCTTACCAAGACAGTGGCAATTTAAAGCAACATTGTGTAAGATTTGGTAATGATGCAATTGTTGTGTGCTGTTCATTATGATCAGATTACTCATGATCTAAATGTAGCAAATCGGTCTAAAGTGCTACCAGTGTATAGACCAACAGTCCAACACCTCTTCTGGTCTAAGGACCCAGTCCCAGGCTTCCAGGGAAGTACGGCTAACTAGCTAATAGCAGCTACATTTCACAGAAGTTACTTTACTGTAAATCACAGTGAGCAGAGGCGGAGCAGCCGGAGGACATCAGAGGGAAAACCAGAAGACTTTTTCTCAATGAAATATGATCCAGTTTCACCAAAACCACTGACATAGTTGGTGTTGTGTGACTGCTGCTTTATGTGTTGGACCAATCATAAAACTATGAGGACTGTGGAAAAGTGGCATGCCTTGGTGTTGGTGACTAATTTACACCACAAATTAATCAGAAACCAAGTTTAGTTCAGTTAACATTTGATCAAATTTAAGAGTATCCAACATTTATTTCAGTTTGACGACCAGCAACTGCTTTGGAAGTGATGGATTTGTTCAGTCATGTACCCAGGGTTCGTTTTTGTGAGTAAAAAAGAGATTTGTCAGTCATCCAGTTCAAATGATGTCTCTCCTTAGCAATATACAGACTGATTGCAGTCTGGCTTTGATGGTCTGTTAAGTGGCGCCCTGTTCTTTGTTCAGACAAAAATATAAAGGGAATCTCTATTCCTAGGAATAGAGATTCAAAATCTAACAGACAAACTGTGTAAGAGTAAAATTAGCACTGTTCAGTCAGACAACTCACGTTTGAAATGTTTATTACAGCAGTATAGCATATTTAGATTTTGGCGTCTAGGCTCCGACCTCATCACTCCCCGCAGATATGTTTACATAGAGATATTAGAGGGAGTGATGAGCAAATATCTTAACCCCTAGCTAATAATAATAATAATAAAATAATAATAATAAATGCTTTATTTTTGGATAGGGACAGTGCACATTAATGAACATCGATATTTAAACATCTCTGTAAACATGCCGGATTATAGCAAAGCTGCTAATTTGCATCCGTAGTCCGTAATAAATAAATAGAAAAAATACAAATAAAAGAGACAGCAAATAAATAGATAAAATACAAATAGAAGAGACAACACACACAGCACAATAGATTACACAATCAAACTGGAGCCTACAGGTGGATGCTGGGGTGGTGGTGGAGCTTACAGCATAGCAGGCAGCAATAGCTTACAGAGCAGCAGCAGCAATACGGATGCAGGGCAACAGCGGCATTGACAGAGCAGAGGGAGAGCTGGGAAATTGTGCAGTTTAAATAGACCGCCAGATTGGAAGGGTGCGCTTGGTTAGTGATTATGGAGTGAGGCATATCATGTGTGTATAGCAGCGCAGCGCGAGTTGACTGCCTGAACTTGCCGCAGGCTTCGCTCCATTTATGGTATGGTATGGCTGTATATGTAATGGCTGTAAATGAACGTTGTGTGTGGAAAGTCAACAGTTGATTCAATTTGTGCTCAGTAGGGTTTATTATAATAATAATTCCGTTTTGATCTCCCATTTAAAGGACCATGAACATGCCACGTTTGATGACATCCTTGGTGAGTGTGACTTGTGTGTTTTTTTAAACATTAGCTCTGTGTGTGTGAGTGTGTGTGTGTGTGTGTGTGTGTGTGTGTGTGCGTGTCTGTCTCGAGGCCAGCCAATTTGTGTGTCTTATCATTACAGCTGAGTGGGAAAAGTAACACCTCTCTTTTTCTGTTTCTTTCTCTCTCTCGCTCCCTCTGACTTTCTCTCACCCAGACGAGATAGAGAAGAAGCTGACCGCGTACAGGAAAGGCTGTAAAATCTGGAACATGCTCATTTTCTGCCAGGTGAATGACAGTGACAGAGAGAAATTGTGACATTATTGGGTCACCTTTTCCTTTGAATTAGTGTTGGGTTGCAATAAGTCAGGTCAGTACTTTGTAACTAGTAGTATTATATTGAAAGATAACCTGATACCAGCTGCTAAAGATACCCTTTCATACTCCCGTATAAACAATATTTATTGAATACAATATTTCCTATAGAATCATAAGATAAGTGAATATTAATATTATTATTATATATAATATTAATATTGTTTGGACAGGCCTGCCCCCACTGCTAAAAAAAATCCTAGAGGAAACACTGTACAACATACTATACTTCCCAGAATCTGTAGTAACAGAAGCTCCTCTCTACAGGGAGGTCCGGGACACCTGTACCTGCTGAAGAATAAAGTCGCCACCTTTGCAAAAGTGGAGAAGGAGGAAGACATGATCCAGTAAGACTAATTTTTTAGGTGTAACCAAAAACACATTTGTTAAGGGTTGGGGACATCTCCAAACACAGGAGTTAAATGTTTATGAAAAGAATGTGACAAATTTTCTTTCTTACATAAAAAGCATAAAACCATTTGATCAATATATCCAACCATAGTGCAAGTGCATCAAAAACCATATGGCAGTTATGACGTTAACCGTCTTTGTAAATCACTTCCTCTGCTGCTCTTACCCATTTGTTGTGGATTTTCATAACCTCTCCTGTGTGTTCAGGTTCTGGCGGCGGCTCAGCAGGCTGATGAGTAAGCTGAACCCAGAGCCCAACCTCATCCACATCATGGGATGCTATGTGCTGGGGAGCGCTAATGGAGAAAAGGTAGCTATCTTTGTATTCTCTCTTTGAGTCATTTGTGTGTGAAGACACATGCAGCACTTTGACATGACAGGAAAATAGAATCTTTGACACCCACTCAATTAAGTTACACACACATGCACCCACTCACCTGCACTGCAATAACATGCTCACACATTCACTCACGCACACCTCCTGTACCCCTGTCATGACCCTTCCACCCCCACGGAGACTGATACATACTCGCTATATGCAGACACACTCACATACAGCATGCACATGAACATGCCCACATTTGTGTTGGCTATTTCCAACTTCAATATTGGAAAAATGATAACCTCCGTTTTACAGCACTGACAAACACCGTACAGTGAGCAGCTGTTCCGCTCTGAGGCTCAAAAAAGCTGTAAGAACAAACAAGAACTAAGTTACAACACAATAGAAGTTTCCAAGAGATACTAAAAATGGATAAACACTGGTTATTAGCAAAAGGCTAATGCTAGGTGTAGAATGTAATGTGAAATTGTCAAAAATGCCAAATAATGTGCTGGGCTAATGCTGTTGATTCAGTGGAGCCGCAAATGTTACAATTCTGTGAACTGGCCTGCTATTTATCTCTCCATGGTCTCATTTGTTTACAGTGATTACAAGCAGGAATTAATCTGAAAGTGATATATTAATGTTTCAAAATGCTGCTTGTAGCACATTTACAACAGTCCTTGTTTTCTTGTGCCTTGGGCCTATACCTCCTGAGTATAAAGAAGTCCTAGCAGTGCTCTGTGGCCCTCACAGTGATATTTGGCATCTTCACCACAGTGATTGAGTGCGAGTCACACGACTAGGGGGATGAACAGGGAAGGGCTTATTCGCTGCATTTAACAATTTTCCCCCTGCTGCTGCCTGTGCGCGCTCCTGCAAGCTCAGCTGGAGAGCAACTATTAATAGACTGAGCTACCTTCACTCAACTCCACCCCCGTTGTACACTGAAATCATAGATGAGAAATTGTTTTCTTTAGAAAGGGTCTGCCACAGATTTTAGTTTAGTTTAAATCAGTCTGATATTAGCAGCTAACTGGAGTAAAGTCATATCATCTCAAAATAGGCTGAGATACCTGCATTATTTCAAACACATTTAGAAGGTGTAAGATGTCAGTGGCTAGCAGTTGTAGCCACTCACCCATTAAGTACTTTTTATTGGTATTTAAAGTCATACAAATGCAACAAACCACAGATACATTTAGATGACCACAGTATACTCAGAGCCCAGAAGCCTACATGTAGCCTACAGTGCTGTAAATAAATACAGTATATGGTATTCATGGTATTATGTTGATATGATTATGTTGACTCATTCTGACAATTGAACAGAATATTGTGCATGTGATGACTTATAGAATGAAATGATGCTGACATGTTTTGGAGAGAACAACCCACCCCAACTGGTCGAGACAGACGACCACCCACCTAGAGCCGGAGGATCTGTCCTAGGTTTCTGCCTTTTAACAGGCAGTTTTTCCTTGCCCTTGTCGCCAAGTGCTTGCTCATGGTGGTACTGTTGGGTCTCTGTAATTAATGTTATAAAGAGTTCGGTCTAGACCTGCTCTATTTGAAAAGTGTCCTGAGATTGGTGCATTACAAATAAAATTGAATTGAACTGAACATTATGATTTCTATATTCAGGTGAGTATACACTAATGAAAACATACCTATGAATATTATATTAAATTTCTGATCAAAAGATCCTCCTAAATGTTACACACTGGACCTTTTAAGGACACAAGGGTCTGTGTCAGCTTTAAAAGGCCGGTACAGTTAGTCTGTTTGTCCTCCACTACCTGCCTGTATGTGACCCTGCTCTACCAGACCTTTACCTCACTGTAGATTAACTCTGACTGATGTGTCTATATGGCCATAAAACATTACCAGTGCCTCTTGCTCGTACTCCACTATTGCAGTGTAAGTGGCACGCTAACCTTTTCACACACACTCTGTTGCGGTGCTGCAGGGCCTCCTCCTGCTCTCTGCATACAGTCATATCTCTGCATCATCACAGGTTTGTTTGTGTTTGTTTTAAAAACGCCTGATGGCATTTGGAATTAATTGTTCTCTCTCTCTAACTCTTCCTCTCTGTGTCTCTCCCTCTTTCTCTGCAGCTGATTCAGACTCTGAAGAGGCTGATGAGACCCTCCTCAGTCGAGTTCAAGTCCCCACTAGAGCTGTCTGCACAGGGTGAGAGCACTACACACACATTTGCTAACAGTTAAACTCACACATGTTATTATTGTTTTTTTTTTTTGCTGTCTTTACTCAGATAACACATATTTAGTTGCATGTACCACAGCATGTACACACACAAAGAACACACATACAGTATTTGACTTGTTATCGACCTCACTGGTACACTTGCTGAATGTAAATTGTGGGCATTAATCAATGCCAGTAAGCCTCTCAGCACTGAAGAAAGCACAATGGGGAGTGTGAGCAAACATGTAGGTGTGAATTCAATGCATCCCTCATCAGTCATTTCTAGTTCCCATGATGCCATAGTCGCTGTACGCTTTCACATGTACAGCCAATCACAGTGTGTTAATGTGTCACGTTACCTGTATATCTACTCTACACTGGGATACACCTGGTGGAGATCTGGACTGGGTTGCGCCAGCTATGTGTAAGTTCATGGTTAAACCATGATTACTTTGTAAAGTCATAACTAAAGCAAGTGACAAATCAACGATTAGAGTTCTATCGCCATGGTTACTGTGCACATTAGCTTTCTGGCTTGCATGAACCACTTGGCTTTGTAGCGTATCGTAGTAAACTAGATGGATATGGAAATATCATATGAATACATTAGGTCTCTATTTGATTACTGTTTCACCATATGAAAAATTAGTATAATTCTGTGACATTGTATGATTTACACCACCATATGGCATGTGCACCTATTTAGTTGTTACTTAGAGTTAAGTTGTAACCTATCTCTGTGGTGCAACCGCTTTCATTTTGGTAGTGCATAAATCACAACTTATAATAATATACTTGTGTAGTAATGTTATGTTATAACTAGGCTAAGTTTGAACTTACACACAGCTGCTGCAACAGGCTGCTGCACTCTACTGACTGCACTCTTCTTGTTCCTCTTCCAGAGAATTATTGCCTGTTTGTTTTCCTGTCCTCCCTCTGCATCCTTTCTACACTTTCTTTCTTTGTTCTCCACACATACAACCTGTAGTGCTTTCAGCACCGGTCGTACTTTATTCATATTACTGGACTGAATGTACTAATTCGACAGGTCAGAGATCAGTCCTTAAGCTGAGATGTTTGTACAATATCTTTCTGCCCTCTGCATTTAAATGTATTCAATGCAATTTGCATATAAATGTCAAACTGTCCAAATTGCTTTTAGCAAATTGAGTTGTTGAGTTGAGTAAGTGCACATATATTGCCTTGATGCTTTGTTTTCTAGTTCATAGATCAGAAGCTATTAGATTATAATTTATTAGCACGGAGGTTCTTGCTAAATAGCTTGCCAACAAAATCACTCTATGACATTGGTGTATGATATTATGTTTTTATACCATTTTGGAGTAAATTGTATCTTCATACATGGATTTATTTATTTTAGCATCGACCTACTGTAGAAACATGGCTGTTCAACATGGCGGCCTCTGTAGAAGAGGACCTTTGCAGATAAAAGAAAAAACAAACAAACGAAAACACAACAATTCTTATATTATATATCAATATTTCAGGTGAATATACGCTAATGAAAACATACCTATGAATATTATATTCCATTTCTGACAACACATCCTTTTCTTGGCTCCGCTTAGTTTTGACTTGTCTGTAGCAGGAAACAATGATGGCTTTCCTGGTCACATATGTTTGTGAAAAGATTTGATGAGAGAAATAGTCAACGCAGTAACAGAATCTTAATCCATATTTGACCTAGTTTGACAGTTTGAGCTGAGTTTGGTGCATTGAGCTGGACGGACTCACTGAAAATCACCTGTCAATCACAAAGTAGCCACGCCCTAAAGCATACCCTGCTTTATAGTCTATTTTACTCTAAATGGGACCATCATTTACTAAATGAACATCATGCTGTATGAAAGAAGACTGAAACTAGAGATTGAAACCATAAACTCATTAGGAAACTTATTACTGAGCTAATAAATCAAGTGGTCGTCTCATTTCTCCATATAACAATACTATCATACTTACTATAATACTTCTTTATTTGTAGCCAATGGAGCTTGCCATTAGAAAGATTGCAGGTATAAAGCACTTCCGCATGGCCTCACTTTTCAGAGCCAGGAGCTCTGTCCACTAATTGCATACTGTCAGTGTGTTGGACAGGACCATCTAAAATCAGCAAGCAGATAGATAGATAGATAGATTTTATTAATCCCCAAAGGGAAATTGGGTCGTCAGCCAGGTACATTTAAATACAATAAAATACATTACATATTGTAATATAATAATAATATTATTATTATTATTATTATTATTATTATTATCATTACATATTGTAATATAATAATAATAATATTATTATTATTATTATTATTATTATTATTATTATGTGTCTGCAACGTCCTGTTGCAGACATATAATAATAATAAAGCTGGCTCAGGCCCTTCTTGTAGATGGCCTCTGCGTTTGTGGACCAGTCCAGTTTATTGTTCAGTGTGACACCCAAGTACTTATACGCTGACACCATATCCACATCTGTCCCACCGATGCTGACAGGAGAGGGTACGGGCTTGTTCCTTCTAAAATCCACCACCATCTCCTTTGTCTTTGCCACGTTCAGCTGCAGGTGGTTCTCCCCACACCACTTCACAAAGCGGTCGACCAGGTCCCTGTGCTCAGCCTCCCTCCCACCCTCAACACACCCCACAATAGCCGTGTCATCAGAGAATTTCTGAAGATGACACGACTCAGTGCAGTACTTAAAGACTGGAGGGTAGGTGGTGAAGAGGAAGGGAGACAGTACAGTTCCCTGGGGGGCCCCGATGTTACCAATCAGACGGTCAGCACCCACCTGCATGTTCTCCAGTTTGGCCTTAGGCAGTCCGGGCTGGATGGTGTTGAAGGCACTGGAGAAATCAAAGAACATGACGCGGACTGATGTGTTGGGTCTGTCCAGTGAGGAGTAAGCCTTCTGCAGCAGGTAGATCATGGCATCAACCCCCACATGGGGCTGATATGCGAACTGCAGGGGGTCTTGCGATGCGCACACCAATGGGCTGAGGTATGCCAGGACCAGTCTCTCCATGACTTTCATGATGTGAGAGGTCAGTGCTACCGGCCTGTAGTCCTCCAGTGTCACAGGACGTCCTCTTTGGGGCACTGGGACCAGGCAGGATGTTTTCCAGAGCAGAGAGATGGGTGTCAGCAGTAGGTTGGGGGGTGGGGATGACAAGGGTGATGCAGAGAGGTGTCTGCTGCAGGAGGTGGTAGGTGGCTGTGGGAGATGTGAGGATGTCCTGGGGGTTGGAGGTGTGAAAGAGTCCGTGGTGAATGTCAGCAGGGGGGTGTGGGGCAGGAGGTGGTGGGGGGTTGTGGGAGTGTCCTGGGGTTGTTGCTCAGGGGAGCATTAGGAGGGCTGCCGGGGGTGGGAGAGCTAGAGTTGAACCTATTGAAAAACTGGTTCAACTCGTTGGCTCATTGTTTGTTCCCCCCAGCTGCCCCCCCTCCTCTCCTCTGAAAGCCAGTGATCTCTTTCATCCCACTCCACATGTCCCTGGTGTTGCTGTTTTGCAGTTTGTCTTTCCAGTTTTCTCATATAGTTGTCCTTGCTCTCACTGATGCTGCGTTTGGGGTCTCTTTGTACCGTTTGAGTTCCCTTATCTAAAGGCCCTCTTCTTCTCGTTGAGAAGGGCCTTCAGGACGCTAGTTACCCACGGTTTGTTGTTTGGGTAACAGTGGACCTTTTTAGTGGGGATGGTGTTGTCTATGCAGAACCCAATGTACTCAGAGACACAGTCAGTAAGGCAATCAATGTCCTCCCGTGTGGCTCATACAGAGCATCCCAGTTAGTGGCCTCTAGTGCTCCGCGCAGTGTGCCTCAGGAGACCATTTCCTCACTGTCTTCACTCTGACTGGGTGTTGCTGAACCACTGGTTTGTATGATGGTGAGAGCCGGACTAGGTTGTGGTCTGACCTGCCCAGTGGTGGCAGGGCAGTGGAGCTGTACTCATCTTTAACATTTGCATACAGCAGGTCCAAGGTCTTATTGTCTCTGGTGGTGCATGTGACAAACTGGTGGAAGGTTGGGTGTGGATGAGAGAGAAACGTGGTTGAAGTCCCCTGTGATTATGATGAAGGCCTCTGGGTGTTTCGTTTGTAGTCCTGCAGTCACAGTGTGGATGACGTCACACGCTGCTTCTGCTTTCCCAGACGGAGGAATATAGACAGTGATGGCGATAACACTGGAAAATTCCCGTTGCAGATAATATGGACGAAGTTCGATGGCGACAAGTTCGATGTCCGGGCTGCAGACACGCTCTTTCACACAGACGTGCCCGGGGTTACACCACCTATTGTTTATGAGCACGGCCAGTCCCCCTCCTTTTTTCTTGCTGGTCGCAGATTGGTAATGTTGGAGTCCGGTATCTGCTTGTGTAGCCACGTTTCCGTGAAACACATGATACTACACTCCCTCCGGTTCGTCCACTTTATTTGCCAGCGACCTTACGTTTCCTGTGAAGATGTAAGGTTTAAACCTCCTCTTCTTCATCCTCCGTTTAACCCCTGCTCTGCAGCCTCGCCGTCTCCTCCTCAGCTCCTCCGGTATGGAGGGTCTCTCTCCAGTCAGGATGCTAGGGTGCCTCAGGGCAATCATCTAGTCAGGGGTGTAAACAATGCGACTCCCCATCACCATGGAGACCAGTGCAAACAAAAACTAAAAAGAAAAAGTATTTTGGCGATATGGAAAAGGTACTAAGAAAGTAAGAAAACTGTTAAAAATAGCAAAAAAAAACACAGGCTAAAAACACACTGAAAACAAACTAAAACTACAACAATCATAGGAGCTGCCATAACAGGCTGCCGTTGTAACAGGCGCCATTCCAGAGAAATGCACAGAAGTGAGTAAGCGGAGAATGATATCATGTGCCAGAATTTTTGTTGTGATGCTAGATGAGGTCAGCTTTTCCCAACAATGTACCAGTTTGTAACCTTAATCCTGTTTTCTTTGTGTTGTCTCGTGGCTGCAGGAAAAGAGATGATCGAGATGTACTTTGACTTCCGTCTTTTTCGCCTGTGGAAAAGCCGCCAGCACTCGAAGCTGCTGGACTATGACGACCTCTTGTGACTTCGCACACCTTTTGTTGGCTTGTTGGCTAGTTATCTCACGTCAAAGTCCGCTGTACGGTGACAGGGCGTTTGGATTGCAGGGCCTCCGAAATGCTTCCTGAATGGCTCTGTGGCAGATCTGGAGCAGCAGCGCAGTTGGGTCTTTTTGTTCCCTTCTCAAGAGGCAGGGTGGCCCTGTAGATTCCGCCAGCGATGTACTTTTTCTCTCCCTTATCCATTTTCACTTCCCACCCCGTCTCTGAAAGAAGAGAAAGAGAGGAGCAAGAAAAAGGAGGAGAAGTGAGGGACTCATCATCCTAGCCTAAATGTGTCAGAAGATGCTAACTAGAGTTAGATTCTTGAGTTCAGAGAGAACTGTTAGACAAGAATGACAGCAGAGAACAGAACTCTTCATTTCTAGCATTTAGAGGGAGACAGATTTTATTTTCCTTTAGCCAATCTATCTGCTCTTTTAAAGATGGAGGCTTGTATGGATGGAAGTATTTTCTTTGTCAGCTGTGGAAGTTATTCACAAGGGGATGAGAGCTTACATGTAAATAAACAAGTGCTTATGGAGCATTAGAGAATAGATTTACAGCACCTCTCTCCTTGCTATCATGTAAAACTCTAGGCATTTAAGTAGTCTATAGGTATATGTGTTTATTTAACACAGGTTTTTTTAAAACTTAAAATAAATGTGTAAGTATTTTGTACAGACTGATGTATTAACTCAGGTTAAATCCCTTGTTTGGTACTAAGAATTATACTCACTTTTGGCAACATACTGTAGATCAGAATCCAAGGCCTTCATACTCCACACAGTCACCTTTAGTGGAATGTTCTGACCATCAGGTATATGTGTGAAGGGCAGAGGTTTTCTACATTTTCAGTCTTTCAAGTCAACTGTAGCCAAACAGACAGATGTATCCATGCATGTTTCATAACATTACAGCACTAGCTATTCTTTCTTGAGATGTTAGTTCGCAGGTGCTGATTTTGTGTTTGCATTGCATGTGTATGTCCATAGCTTACTTGCATTTTGTCTCTCTGTAAAGAGGTTGACAAGCAGACAAAAATGCGTACTGATAACATACATATTGTGTATTTAATAACACTTAATTTACTCACATGTTTTGGAGTGAATTTGAATTTGACTTAACTTGAATAACTCAAAAGTAGCAGTAGTGGTGGAGGTGATACTTTCCTTTGACTTACTTTTGATTCTACTCACCATCAAATTGTTGTCCCTTTGTTAATACACCCTTAAAACCGGTACTCTTGAAGCCAGTGCTCTAGTCAAATAATTTCAGTTAATATCACATTATGAAGGTTTGTGTCTTAAAGCACAGTCCTTGTCATACCCATTTGTTTCATTAATATCTATTTAGTAGCTATCAGGACATTTTCACTAGAGTTGAAATGGCATATATGTTTTGTGCTGACTTTAAAGTGCACTCCAGTGATTTAGTATTTTACTTTCATTACGCTGGGGGACTATTAGAAAAATAATAATCAAAATCTCAAGATGTCCTGACTTTATTCCCTACTATGGTTCAAAACTCCAACAACACTGGATCCTACATTTCCCATACTGCACTGGATAGCATCTTTTTATTACCAAATTCCAAAAGCCCAACCTTTTGAGACACAGGCTTCTTGTTAAAGTTGATGTCTGAGCCCAAGCTGAGAAACCCTGATGACTTCACCAGACACTATGACATCATCTGGGGTATTTTCTCCAACTTTAAAGTGACAGATTTTTATGTGGACTAGACCGAAAATGGTAGATTGCCCCTTTTAAACCTTTCAAAAGTTTTACATACTGTCCATTATATCACACTAGTATAACCCATTATACAACAAAGGCCAGTATTAGCCAGATGCTGCATTATTCACCTAACCTGCAGGAAGTCATTCTATTTTGTAAAGCAAGGGCTTACCCCATTACACTGTATAGTTAAAAACGTAAACGTTTTGGGGGAAAGTGCTGTTTTAAAACTTCAATTCAGTTTTATTTGTATAGCGCCAATTCATAACAGAAGTTATCTCAGGACACTTTTCAAATAGAGCAGGTCTAGACCGAACTCTTTATAACATTATTTACAGAGACCCAACAGTACCACCATGAGCAAGCACTTGGCGACAAGGGCAAGGAAAAACTGCAGAAACCTAGGACAGATCCTTCGGCTCTAGGTGGGTGGTCGTCTGTCTCGAGAGAGATGCACAGGTGTCAGATAGGATGAGTGACATTTACATTTCTCCATCTGAAGCTTGTGCTGAGGTGGCCATGTCCTCCCCCCTGCAAATATGCAGCTTCATCATTAAACTCATTGTCTATATGCATTCCTGATATTTTTGCAGACCAAATGTCCTCACAAAGGTAGGAAAGAATGAGGAGAATCCAACAAAAGTAAAGTCTTTTTGCCCCTCATTTTTTCAATAATTTGGTTTCAGGATCAAGAGTTTGATTTAGATTGAAGTTAAAGCTGCAGTAAGTCATTTTTATAATAAAAAAAAAAAAATTGTCGTTTGCTGAGACTTTCACTATTTCAGTTTATCCTGACAGTTGTACATGAGACAGATAATCTGTGAACAAATCTGTGAAAAATTCTGATCACCTGGGCACCCTGGTGGTCATAATGATATGCAGCCCCATAAGCAACAAACTGTGATGCACTGTGTGTTCTGACCCCTTTCTGTCAGAACCAGCATTAACTGTTGCAGCAGTTTGAGCTACAGTAGCTCGTCTGTTGGATCGGACCACACGGGTCAGCCTTCACTCCCCACGTACATCAATGAGCCTTGGCCCCCCCATTCCTGTCTCTGGTTCAGCGCTTTTTCTTCCTTGGACCATTTTTGATAGGTACTGACCACGGCAGACTGGGAACATCCCACAAGAGCTGAAGGTTTGGAGATGCTCTGACCCAGTCATCTCGCCATCACAATTTGGCCCTTGTCAAAGTTGCTCAAATCCTCACGCTGCCCATTTTTCCTGCTTCTAACACATCAACTCTGAGGACAAAATGTTCACTTACTGCCTGATATATCCCACCCACTGACAGGAGCCATGATTACCAGATAATCAGTGTTATTCACTTCCCCTGTCAGTGCTCATAATGTTATGGCTGTTCGGTGTATTTTTCTCAGCTGATTGGTTGTTTAACAAAAGGTTATTTGTCATTATTAGTGAAGCTATACCTACTGCAGCTTTAAGGAATGTGTCAGGGGATGAATTACAATTGTAAAACAATATGTCATTCATCCACATATGCTTCCTTACTTTTTAAGAATTTAAATGTGTGTGTCTTGACCATGGCTGACTGAGCCCTTTAACTACTGATGTGTACATTTGTGTCTTGATTTTGCTTCCTGATCCTTGCAAGTCAGCCGAGCTGGAAGAAGTGTTCATAGCATTAAAGTGTTTGAATAGTTCTTAGCTTACAGGATCAGAATGGAGGATTCAGATGCCAACATCTTAGTGCATTCTATAAAGAGAACTTTGGTCCAAATTTGGACATTTAGGCATTTGAAATATCTCCTTATTGCCAGTGAGGATGTAAAACAGGTTATTAAATATTAGTAAAGTTAATAACTGTCTCAAGAGAACTGTTTTATATTGTAACTGATTTTTAAAGGGGGCAATAATCACTGCTTTGGAAGAGTGTGAAATGAGAGGTTAAACTCTTTTAAAATGGCTGAGTAGGTTTTTGGACTGGAGCCCTTTCAGTGGATTATTCCTCAGCAACACTGATACCATCCTTTTGCAGTGCATCTGTAGCTGAATGGTTTAATCATGAGTTACTGTAAATTCTTTAAATTTATATCTGTGTTAGTGTTAAAAATGCTTCATACTGTTGTCAACTTATGCCACAAAGTAGCATGTATCACCACCTCACTGTCAAATTAATTGTGATAATTTAGTATAAGACCATAGTGGTGTACAATGGTCAGACGAGACAAATTTGTGTTGATGCCATGGGCTCCAAACAGACCCCAATAGCAGCACTGGTTTGTGCAATAACTGCTGCCATGCCTGAAATGGGCCAGAACCATACCGTTTTGATACTACTGATTTTGGTCCACATGAGTACCCTTACTTCTTATTGGGTGCCATCACCTCTGGTGAGCATGGCCATACCCACCACTGAGGTCACCAAGGTATAAACCTCAGTATTTTTCCAAGGGGTAGATAATAAAAGCCTAAAAATTACTGCTTTGAGTTTCTGGACTTAGCATTAAGATAGCTGTGTGTTTACACAGAGATGCAAAGAAATAAGCACTGAAAATGTCCTTGCTAAAACATATAAAAAAATGGCAAAAGAGTTAGGGTTAGGGTTATGGTTGTGCTTAATAAGGGTACTGGCACCTTTTTTGGTCCAATTCAGGAACTGAATTGCTCAGAGAACCAGGCCTTTATTTCAATTTCTTTTCACATTTAGTATATAATAAGTATATAATAGTATATAATATATAATATTAATGTTATTTGAACTTCCACCTCTTCCACAGTCACCTGTTGTCTTGATAAATTCAGGATATTTCCACTGCAATCTGCTGCTTTCCTCTCATTAACAGAAATGTTCATTTTTTATTTCCAGTGGCTTCCACTTTGCCGTTTTTTGGTCACGGTTAACCTCCTGTCAGTGAAATGTATGTTTTACTGAATATATCATATGAGCTATTACAGGTTATTCCATATTTCTTTAATTTAAAAACAACCTTTATTTGTTTGGTCATAGGCTTTTGTTTGAAAATGTACACCATTTTATTTGAAATTCATACAATTTCGTATGGCCAGGAGGTACTGCCACTTATGTTGCTAGTGTTGCCATTAATGTTAAAATCACAGAACACTAAATGGTTCCTTCTATTTGCTCGTGCATTGTAGCACAGAGGCTTACATTCTCAAACATGGCTGTTTTGGATTTTTTATGCTGTGAAATGGATGAACCTCATAGCCTCATGTGTGCTCAATTATCTCTTTGCTTAGAGGTAGTATCTGGTAATTGTGAGTATTTGTTTAAATATTACCCACTCCCTAAATATTTCTTCTGTAGCAATATACTGTTTATGAATATTTCTGTATGGTTCTTTATATTTGTGTAACTCTAACTCCAAGATAGGGAACATTGTTCAAGGTATTGTGTTAGTCTGTAATATCTTCGGAATTTAATGACTATTGATTTACAGTACTGTGGATGATGGACAGAAACAATGTATGTTGAAGACTGACCATCTCTTCTTTGCTTGGCTCCTTTATATTCTACTAAAGTGCAGTCTAGCACTAATCCTGCTCATAGAGGACTCCTCTGCTTTCTCCTTTGCTGTGATTTTAAGTAAAGGCTAAACCCCAGAGCCTAATTAGGGTTAGGGTTAGGGTTACATTCTCAATGGTTGTCCATCTTTTATACAGTTGTGTTAAAACATGATTTAGGTGCATTTACATTTGACACTACTGTATATATACAGTATTGATATTGGATTTCATGCTGTATCTAAATGCATTCGTACTTCATATAACCTACTGTACATTTAAATTCTTCCCCCTCTTTTGTGCTGGATATGGTAGTACACTGGCTGAGATTGTTGGGATATATAACATTTACATTACTTTTATTGAGATTATTGAAGTTCTGACTGACTCCAGCAGTGGTTTAGTTGATGTTTCTCCTTTATCACATCCAATCTGATGAACCAGGCTGCAAGCAAACTCCACTGGATGGTCTAAGATTATCTGCATTGATAAACAATGGAATTAGGTCACCAAAAAAATAGTTTTTTCACTTAAGGCTCAAATTTCACATACTATCGCCATTTGGTATTGGGCAGGTAGCATACAATGGGTCAATTTTCAAACTGCTGATTAGAGTGAAATTTACCAACTGAAAAACCAAAACAGTGAGCTAAAAGAGCTGAGAGGAGAGAATTGTTTGTGGGTTCATGACTACAAGAGATCTCCGTCACAATAAACAAAAAAATATTTTTGCAGCTTTAAACTCAGAACTGAGCGCTACTGTACATACAAAATGACCACTGGAGAAAGCAGAGGACATCTCCTAACCTTAATATTAAAAAGGAGTTGAACAGGGATAATCTCAGAGAGTCAAGGACCGTCACAGCAATCTTTTTTAGGTGTGGGCGACTTTGAAATAGCGGCATTGAGGACTTGTATTCATATAGCACTGGAGTTGCACACAGTCTGACTGGTGCTGGCTCACTGAAGCTGCCATTTCCATTTCCTGAGATCATAATTACACAAATCAAGAGACTGATATTTGAATGCCTTTCTTCTCCTGTTATTTTCCAAATGAAACTACGTGTCACCATTGAGAAGAGGAGACATTTCCCCCCTGTTCGAATTATTAATAAGCATTGTTGTGCCTTCCTTGGCACTCATGCTGGTTTCCATGAAGATTGCCAGGGCTCAGTCGGGAGCATGATTGAGTTTGATGAGGATGATGGATTGATGCTGCTTTGATTGCCCTGACACCTCCAGTTGGGCTATGATTATATTTCGGGACGAGTGGAAAAATAATGTGTTTATGTAACGTCTGTTTTACTTTGCATCAATTTGTATGTCATCTAACTGAGCATTACATTTTGGAATAGCTTTCTTAGACTAATATGCAGTAGATACTGTAGGAGTGGTAGATGTTACAAATAATGGTCAAAAACAGGTTTATAATACATATGTCTTGATAAAGAAAATAATCTTGTTATTATGAAAGGTATTTTACCAATTAACATGACGGTATCTGGTGATTTTGATACAAAGTTAAAATATGTCTGGGTAGCTTTCCTGAGCTTTTGGGTTCTTCCTTATAGAATAGACACTATCAGTGGAACTTTAATCCAATGTGAAACTTATTCTAAATGAACTACTAGCAAAGAAATGTTGCATTGCACAATGTTGGTAATAACCTGTGATAAAAATATTGTTTTTAAAGCATCTTTTCCAGTAAACATTAGTTCTACACAGCTTGTTTCATTGTCTTATTGACTGAGTGATGGTTAATACAGTAGAAAGGTCAATGTAGCTCTATGTTGCTCTAACTCCACCTTTTATGAAAATGTATGGGCTCATGATCCTATAGTGTGCTTTGGATTAAAGTCTCTAATAAATTATCGCACTTATTACTAATCTGTTGATATAATATTATATTAGTATTCACTGGGTGTGAGTTACATGAAATGTATGAATGTTAGTTTCTGTTCGATGGACTTTGCCATCGCTGTGTGAGTGTGTGTGAAAGGGTGAATGTGGCACGTAGTGTAAAAACGCTTTGAGTGGTCGGAAGACTAGAAAGGCGCTATACAGGTACAGGTCCATTTACCATTTACCATTTTACCAAATGTCCCTCTGACTGTTTGTTAAGCGACTAACAAACAAACAATATAGTCACTGAGAGGCTAAGCAGGGGAAAACTTTACCTGCCGGACACGCTGGTTTTTCAATAAAAACATCTCTCGATTACTGATTTATGTATATTTATTGCTGCTAAAACACAAACGGTGAGTGTTCCTACAGTCCATAAACATTGAGTTTGTCCACTTCTGGCGCCCCTGTAGTTGTGGTAAGTACTCCTTAGTCCAACTTTTCCAAAACAAATCGGAAATAGGGGGGGCTGGGTCTTGAGAAGCAGGAGATGGTTGGGCGTTAATGCTTCTAAGTCATTTGGGTCCGTAGACTCCTTCGTAAGGGGTCTGCTATTGAGAATTGATTCAGCCTCGCAGAGGACAGTTTGTAGTCCCTCCTCATCCAAACTTTGTGCTCTCAAAGTGGAATTAAGAACTCCTCTGATGGAACGAATTAACCTCTCCCATGCTCCACCATGATGTGACCCAGCAGGAGGATTAAAGGTCCACTTGATTCCTTTTCAATAAGAAAATAAGAAAATCATTAATCCGTTCCATCCTTCAATGGCTCGTTTCAACTCACGCTCTGCACCAATGAAGCGTCACAATGCATTTATGAATGAATCTGTGTCCTAAGATGAAGCAACTACAATATGCACTGCTCTTATCACCAAACAGGTGTAGATGACTCCTTGCACGCCTGATGTCCAAAGGTTCAAAATAATCTACCCCAACATAACTGAAGGGAGGTTCATCTGGTGAAATTCTGCCATTTGTTGCTGACCGACAACTCCATGCTGCCTGCGACAGACAACACATCTGGATAGGATCCTCCTTATGGCAACACTGGCAGAGGGAATCCAATAGCGTTGATGTAACCTCGACAACACGTGGTTCCTACCACCATGGCCGACTTCTTGATGAATATGGCGTATGATGAGGTCCGATATATGAAGATCTTTAGCTATTATAGCTGGGTGTTTAGACTCTTCAGGCATAGCCGCTTTACTAAGCCGACCTCCGACTCTCAAAACGCCATCATCCAGTATTGGATTGAGCCTGTATATGTGACTGCTTCCTTTCACACTCTCTCCCCTTTGGAGACAAGAAAACTCTTCTCTGTACCTTTGTCTTTGACAGAACTTGATTATTTCTAATTCGCTGTCTTTGATTTCTTCCAGTGAGAGGTGACCACAACGCAACTTAGCATCCTTGGGCTGCTTCACATTTGATGCAGACTGAGGAAAATGGGCATTAACTTGCTTCCTTTTCCTGATATCCAATAACAAACCCTTAAGCCTTAGTGTCAAACAATAGCAGGTACCTTGACTTCTGGGTCTCCAGACAGCCCTCCCAAGTCATCTTGATCAACAACCTGAACCTGGTCAAGACGCCAATCAATGCGCTTGTAAGGTCTGGTCCTTGCAGAAGATGTGCATTAAGTGAGGCCTCTTTGAATGATGCTGCACAATCAAAAACTACACGCATCTTCTTTTTTTGAGGATGATATACCCCATGATGAGGGATATACCAAACCTTGCCATCACTGCGCTCAAAATCTGTGGCTGGCACTCTCTCTGCAAATCCACTTGCTATGAGGTTGTTCATGAATGCAATGTAGTCCTTATGAGATGATGGCTCCCTTACGAACCTCCTCTTCAGGTTAATAATGCGTTGCTCAACAACTATGCGGTTGTTAGGCATGCTGATATTTCTGTCTTTAAGAGGCAAGGCAATGCTATAATGGCCATCCACCAGTTTCACAGATCTATCAGCCATTTCCAGGAATCTGGAATCCTCCCTTGACATCCCCAGCAGTTCATCTTGGTTGTTCTCTGGGAAGTCTATCTTAAACTGCTTATTCCAGAGCTCGTCAAGTGTGATGGCTGAAATTCTATTGACTGTAACTGCCGACTGACACTCAAAACGATCAGTGCTTTCACCAAGTGGCCCGTTTACTGTCCAACCCAGCATCGTTTTGACAGCGTATGGCCCTCCATTTATGCTCCTGATAACCTCCAAAGGCTCCAAAGCACTGGGAACATCAGTGCCTATCAGAATCTCCACTTCTGCATCTATTTCTGGCAAGCAAACATGTTTCAAGTGAGGCCATTTTCCAAAGTCTTGTTGTCGTGGGATGTTGCTTCTATCAACAGGCATCTTATGTTGTATGAATAATTTTGGTATTTCACAATACACATTAGTGTCCAATCCAGCAACTTTCAAGTAAGATGCAATACGACTGTCAACTACTTTCTCTTGGCCCATCGTGCGCAGAAGAATCTTTGTTTTCCTCCCAGGGAGGCCCAGCTTATCCATCAGACCCACTGTACAGAAAGATGCAGTATTTCCTGGGTCTAAAAAGGCATATGTTTCAACTGCCTTTGCCCTTTACTTGATTTGACTCTGACTGGTACGATGGCAAGTTTACAATCCTGGTCACCGGCCCCAGTGAGACCACTAGTTTGCACTTCAACCATACCACTGTCCGCTGCCTTTCCTGAGATGTTCTTGTCCTTCTCTGCCTCTGTTTTGTTTTCCCTTTGATGGATGTCCAACATACTGGGGTGTTGTGAGCCACATATTTCGCAAGAAAGACGCTTCCTGCACTCTCTGCTGAAGTGCCCAATGCACAAACAACCAAAGCAAACTCCATTAGTTTTCAGGAAATTCATCTTCTCACTGTGAGCCTTCCTCTCCAATAGAATGCACGACTCCAGTGTGTGTCCACAGTTTTTACAGTAGAGGCAGACCTTCTCAAATCCATCCCTCTTGTTGTCTGGTGGAGCCCTCCTTTTAACTGTTGTAACAGTCGTGGCAAAACTGCGCCCCCCAACTCTTGAACGAGGCATAGATTTTATTCTGCCACTCTCCTTGACTGCCACCAGTGTTTGAGCATCCTATATGTCTCCAAATACAGGGTCCATAGCAATCTTCACTTGATGTTCAATGAAGGTTACAATATCAACAAACATAGCTCTGTGCCGACACCTTTCCTGTATGTCACAAACTGCTGTACGCCAGTTGTCTCTAAGCTTGTACGGTAGCTTCTTGATCACAGTGAGCATACTTGCTGATGTATTGAGGTCACACAAATTATATACATCTTTCATGGCATTACAACATCTGCGTAAGAACAGACTGAATGCTTGTAAAGCCTTTGCATTCTCTGATTTAATTGATGGCCATGACAATATTTTATTTGTGTCAGCAGATGCAATTACATGATCATTTCCAAAATGTTCATGGAGCAAAGCCTTTGCTGTAGCATATCCATTTCCATCAGTCATATGTTGACAGCTTTTGATTAACTGTTGTGGCTGCCCCCTGGTGTATTTGTTCCAGGTAGTTAAGGCAGTCAACCCCATTGTTGGCCTTTTGTTCTATTGTTTGTTCAAAGGATTGCATAAAGGCATGATATTGCAGTGGATTACCATCGAAGATCTGAATGTCCCTTTTTGGCAGTGATGCTAGACTTTGCTGTTGCACCAGCATCGATGTTATTTCATTTTGTTTTTCCATTATAGACAGCATGTTATGTTCACTGAAAAGAGGGATGTTTGCATCTTTGAGATGAGACACTGGGGGCACTGCATCCTTAGGAGCTGTGCTCTGTGGTTTTGTTGGCACTGAGGGCCCCTGTTGTACATAATTGGCTCCTTCATGTTGCTTTGACCTTGCGCCTCAACACACTGAGTCAGTGAAACTCCGAGATCATGCGGTCAGCTAAAGTTCGACTTCCCCCCTCACCCTCTCAGTTCATTCATTCACCAGGTGAACAGCTGATTTTACTACCTGGCTGATGCACCACCACGTGACCCACATCCCCGTATGTAACCATACCAACAAACCCTAAAACAATACTAGCTAGTGCCTATACTGCTCATGCGGTAGATTGCATAAAAATAGAAATTTTTAGTCCCTGTGGAGAATTTAGAACATTGCAGCAGAGAATAATGGAAAGACAGTGCTAACAAGCTCTAAATATGTAAAAAAATTATTCAAATGGTACAACTAATGCCTAATGCAGATCAGTTTCAAAGCATTTATAAGAATCAGCTTAGGTTTTAAGCTTAGTTTAAATTACAGTTCAAAAGCTACTCTGATCTATTAATTAAGACATTGTTAAATTAATAATTTGGGTGCTTTTAAAAAAGGTCCAACGTGTAGGATTTAGTGACATCTAGCAGTGTTGTTGCAGATCGCAACTCCTTCGCTTCAACCTCCCCTTCCAAGCTCGAAGGAGAAACTACTATGGCCATATCTAGAGCTAGTGTTTGGTTTGTCCATTCTGGGCTACTGTAGAAACATGGTGGTTCAACATGGCAGACTCCATATGAGAGGACCCACTTCTTCTGTAGATAAAAACGTATTGTAAGATTTAAAGAAAAACAAAAAAAACACAATTATTCTTATTTTTAGGTGATTATACAATAATTAAAAACATACCTATCAATATTATTTTCCATTTCTGAAATCTTAAAATATTACACACTGGACCTTTAAAGCCCTCTCGACAATATAGGAACATATTAAATGGAAACTTAAATGTATGCTTCACACAATTTATTGACAACCTTAAACTACCTTAGTATGTTTAACTGTCTTGTTACATGTTTTAT